ATTTTCTGTAGTTAAGTGTAGCGCAGCCATGCGTCATGTATACATAGCTGCCATTTGTTAATTTGACTAATATAAATTCTTAAAAAAACGTTTACTGTTTCGCAAATCTTTTTATCATTTTATATTTATCCTTATGATGAAAACAGTAACGAATTGATTGTTCACAACAAATGATAAAGTTCTACTAATTGATATTTATGAATGTCTGGAAATATATTATATCATATTTCCATTGATACGCTAGAGAAAATCGTAGCTACATCAAAAATATTTGAAGCAACCATCATTCGTATTTTTGTTCTGAATAGAGATAACAAAAAAAAGTGTTTAACTATCATAGACATTTAAGAATAATAAAATATTTGCAAACTGTGTTACGTTTTTACATAAGAATGATAGTAAACTAAAACTTGAATGCATGTGTGATAAAGAATATTTGATTGGACATTAAAACTAAGCTTTAGGATTGAGGGAAATGATAAGGAAAGAGAGGTACATAATTCAACAAATTGAAATGGGGCAAATTATCGTCAAACATCAATACAGAAGTCATTTTAATAAGCAAGGAATGCATGCAAAATAAATGATACATTTTTCGTCTCTTGTTTCTTCTGTTACAATTATTCAATATTGCAAGAATATTTTTGACAGATGGCAAATGCCTTTTAATGGTCTGAAACAAAATATTTGAAGAATTGAAACTTTTTGATACTTCAAAGTTGAATTCCTCTATTTAGTTATTTAAAGTTTTTTTACTTTAGTAATTCTGTCGAAATGCTCATAAATTTCATTGAATTCAAAACTTATATCATTATGAGAGTCGAACTTCTCTATACGGCTGACAGATGTTGTAAACAGAATATCATGTATATCATGTAAATTGTAAGTCGAAAATTTTGCTCTGAAAATGTTTAGGGGGATGGGGGTCTGCAACCATTAATGTGTCTTTTTTGTCCTTATTTTCTGCTTTTTTGAGAGAGGAAAGAGAATGAATAAATTGAAATAAACTAAATTCATTAAAAACATGAGAAATTAAAATCATGTGAAATGGGATGTATAAAGATAATTACCTAAGAAACTAGCCTTGTTTGAATTTGATATACTTTAGAAAGTTTCATGTTAGGTTAAGTAAAAAAGGGTAAAACATATTATAATGAACTATAAAAATTGAACAAAACTTGCTTATAGACCATACTCCTTTTTTGGCTTTATAATATCTTATCTATGAGCGGAAACTAACATCTGCAGTGCACATTTTTCTTTTAGTTTATAGAGACACTTGAAATAGTTGACCAATTTGAATAACGTCAAAATAAACATATTTCTTCCCGGGGTGTTGTTATAAGGAATTAAAATAATTTGGTCTGTTATTTTCAATGTAAAAGGTATTTCTTCGAATTGTTGAAACAATATTTTTGTTGCACATTTTTTCTGACACTAAATTTCTGCAATTTTGGCTCTTTATCCAAAGTATAATTGAAAACCATCAAAATTTGTGTCCCCGTCCACAGAAAAGTACTTGTCTTGTGTTGATATCAAAATTCAAAAAGCCAATATTACTAGCACTTTTGGACAAGACAGTTTCTACTTCAGTTACATTTTTTCTAAGCTGCTGTTTGAGAAGAATAGAAAACAACTCGTCAGAACTCAAAAGAGAACTTTCATTGATAGCCAAATTGCCTCTTCTATGGTAAGTAATGAAAACATAAAGAAAACCTAAAATTCAGAGCTTATCACATAATTTAAGAACAATAGTTCTTATGGAATAAATTTCCTTAACAAGACCATACATTTCATTTATCATAGTCATGCTTATACGTAATCCAACAGATAATCTAATACAATCTTTATCTTTTAAAATACTTAAAGCATTATGAAACATTTTTGTATGTTTTTTTTAAACATTTTCTGTAGTTAAGTTTAGCGCAGGCATGCTTCATGTATACATAGCTGCCATTTGTTAATTTGACTAATTTAAAATTATTTAAAAATCTTTTACCGTTTCGCAAATCTTTTTATCATTTATGTCTATCCTTATGATGGAAATAAAAACGAATTGATTGATCACAACTAAAGATAAAGTTCTACTTATTTATATTTATGAATGTCTGGAAATATATTATATCATATTTCCAATGGGGTGTAGATAAAAATCGGGCGCGGACGACGGACGCAGACGACGGACGCGGACAGCAGACGCAGATGTAAGACGAACGTCTGTTTGTACGAACGTCTGCTTGTTGTGGGCGGGAATTTCAAATGATTTATTGTAGGAGTTTGACAGTAATTTAAACAAGCTTTATCTTTCAGGGTATATTTTATGACCTCATTATTTCAAGCAATTAAATATGCATATTTCATTTTCAGTCAGTCATATAGAGTGTAACGCAATGGAACCTCTATATATTTTTTTCGTGTTTTGTCAATGGCATTTCACTCATGTTGGCCTTTACGTGGGTGAGCCTGTTCATCTTTACTGCACTATAATGCTTTCCGTCACCTTGTCATTTGGCAAGCAGTACGTATATTGCAGTTTTCAACATGAACTTCCTTTGAAAGCTGAGGTTAGAAGCAGTTAGTTAGTGCGTCAGTTACATCTTGAAAGTATACTTTAAGTGAGGTTTCATTGCGTTACACTCTATATGACTGACTGAAATTGAAATATGCATAATTAATTGCTTTAAATAATGAGGTCAAAAAATATATCCTGAAAGATAAAGCTCGTTCAAATTATTGTGAAACTCCTACAATAAATCATTTGCAATTCCCGCCCACAACAAACAGACGTTCGTACAAACAGACGTTCGTCTTACATCATCCGTCCGCCCGCGTCCGTCCGCGTCCCGTCCGCTTTTATCTACACTTTCTAATGATACGCCAGAGAAAATAGTAGCTACATCAAAAATATTTGAAGCAACCATCATTAAGTATTTTTTTCTAAATAGAGATAACAAAAAAATGTTTTTTAACTATCATAGACATTTAAGAATAATAAAAATTTGCAAACTGTTTTACGTTTTTACATGAGAATGATAGTAAACTAAAACTTGAATGCATGTGTGATAAAGAATATTTGATTGGCCATTAAAACTAAGCTTTAGGATTGAGGGAAATGATAAAGAAAGAGAGGTACATAATTCAACAAATTGAAATGGGGCAAATCATCATCAAACATCAATACAGAAGTCATTTTAATAAGCAAGGAATGCATGCAAAATAAATTATACATTTTTCGTCTCTTGTTTCTTCTGTTACAATTATTCAATATTGCAGAAATATTTTTGACAGATAGTAAATGCCTTTTAATTGTCTGAAACAAAATATTTGAATAATTAAAACTTTTTTAGCTTTTTAGATTTTCTTTACTTTAGCAGTTCTGTCAAAATACTCATAAATTTCATTCAATTCAGAATTTATATAATTATGAGAGTCGAACTTCTCTATACGACTGACAGATGTTGTAAAGCAGAATATCATGTATTGTTTAACGGCCTTCATTTCTGTAACTAGACGACATGTAGTTACAGAGAGGCCTGCTAGTCTGTTAAACATTGCGAAACAAATTATTTGGCATTTAATTTTGCTGGCTTAGTTAAGCAATACGTCTTTGCCATTCATCTGGCAAACTGAGTTAACATGAGCAAATTTGAAATCAACCCATTTTAAATTTTTTCTAAACCGCTCTTGGTGAATTTCATATATTGCATCATTTCCTTATAGTGGACATTGAAATGTTTTATTTCTTTCTATGCATTCGTTTGCTAGAAACCCTACATCTATTCACAACGCGTTCTAGGCGGATGAACTCTACATATATGAATTATTGTAAACATGAGTCTTGGTAGTGAACAATTTGTCTAATCTATTGTAACAATATCCAATCATTATAAATTATCTGAAAGCAAACGTGAACATACTTTTTGGAGAAGGAAGTTAAAATGTTACATAATTATAGAAATCAATACTTGATTTATATACCAAAAAAAGTTTAAGAACAAATGATTATATGATTATATTGATGACAAGCCTTTCATAAATAAAGTAAATGTTTTACTACAAAAGCTTTAAAGAAATATTAATCGTCCACCTTCTAATAAATAGAAAATAAAGATGATATCAAGCTCAACAAAAGCGTTTCTTGGGACTCTCATAATCCTGTCTATTAGTGGCCAAATAGTAAATGGTAGTGACGACATATCAATCTGCAAGAAAAGCTTAAAGACATTAAAAGACAACGTGAAAGAATGGATGGAAACTTGCGTTGATAAAAATGGCAATGACGATAACACAACTGCATGCAAGGAAGTAAAACAATACAACAAAGAAATGATGCAAATGCAAACAGAAATGTGTTTTTACAAAGGTATAATCTTTAGTTTTGACAAATTTTCATAGTTTCTTGTTCATAGCACCAAAAACCATATTCAACAAAAATAGGTAGAAGTTGTGCAGCCAATCCAATTTCAGTTATTAGTAATATTTCTACAGTGAAAAATTCTTTCTAAAAATACTTATCCTGGTCTTTCACAAAATTTTATGATTGCAAAGTCTATAAAAATTTGCATTTTTTCAATCCACTCTCATCGTTGTTATTTATAGTTTTTTTATTATTTATTTAGATGTTTATCCAAAGCCATATTTGATTATTATGAGCTTTGATAAAATATACTCTGTTGATTCTATTACTGGAGATATTTATGTCAGCACTATTAATGGCTCCAGTAAGAATAAATCCAACCATGCATCAAGTTATAATGACATAGAAATTGATGTAGTTGAGAATGTGCTTTACTACATTGATGACAAAGACATCAAACGGGGAAATCTTGACTTGACTAGAAACGAAATTTTTGCGAAAAATGTTTCTGTTCATGATATTACAGTTGACTGGATTGGTCATCGTATCTTTTACATTGACTCCACGAACATTATCTACCAAATTTATTTGAAAAAGAAAAATACAAGTGTTATGAGGCTTCAACCAGGCTTACAATTTTCCAGCATTGCATTTGACTCAAAACATGGGTAAGGCGATTTTGAAATTTTTTTCATTTACTTGTAAGCGTAAAATTATAAAATTATCTCAATCTATTGGAGGGTTTTCTTAAGTAAGGTAAGAGGTTTTGTTTTTAGAGACGGTGTTTTAATTTAATAGAAAAGTTGAATTTTATAAGTCCGTATTATGGTTTGTTATTTAAAGGTTTAATAATAGAAAAAAATATCGATTTTCCAGGGAAATCAAAACTTGCTTTTTCCCAAGGGAGCGAACATTAAGTATTTTGTTTGCTATAAAGAAACAAACGTCATATAGTTCGACAGATTTTTATTAAAATCAACGTCTTTCGGAGAGATTTGGCCAGCAAAATTTTATTGCGTGACTATAAGGCATTTAAAACCAACTGCAATAATGAACACATTTCGTGTGATTATTCAGCACACATGCAGTAGAAAATAACATGCAGATCCTGAAATTGCAAAAATCGACAGCGATATTTATGTGGAGCAACCAAAGAGCTTTGAGAAAAAAGGTAACAACGGAGGGATCAATGTTTATATATGATGAAGTCATAAAATGAAATAAAACAGAGCGGTAGAAACTGAAATAAAATATTAAATAATTACTTTGCACATAAAACTTTAGTCAAATACTCACAGAACCTTGGCTTTCCACAACCTACAAAAAAGTAGTACAACTTCACTGTGCAACTTAGTGTTGTACATTTAATTCCATTACTGGCTTCGGCTAGCCACCTAAGAGGGCTTTTCTTTGTCAGAAAAAGCAATTTGCTTGACGCCTCCATGGTAATCATATGCTTAATAAGATAAGCCCTACACAAAAGATTTCAACAATTTGGGAGCATTGTTTGTTGCTATACTGTGCTCCTTTGTATACTTTTTTAGGCAGTGTAAGAGATGTGCAACAATCTCAATACGGAATGGCAATAAAGTTTTAAAATATTCACGAATGTGGTGAACGTAAAAACATCAACTTTTCGTTTTGTAATGAAGATAAAAAGAACTACACACATTCCAACGTAGTTATATGAAAAATATAAAAATGGATTTTAGTTTTCAAAAATGTGGGAATTTAAAAAAACATAATCAATATATCAAGTTTATAGTTTTTCAAGCATTCTTTTAACTTGCATTGAATGGCAGAGTATATTGAAAAGTCGAGAGCTGCAAATTAAGTGGCTGTACACTTCCCTTTAATAAATCCAATCACACATCCAATCAAATCATCTGAATGGAAGATCTTTCCACGACCTTTAGTTCATGCAGTGTTTCTTAGTGTAGCTTAGGCAAACGTTAGGTCTGTAGCTGCTCCACTAATGATGAATCTGAAGATAATAATCATGTGATTAAAAAGAAATTGGCTTAAAAGCCTTGTGGAGCGAGAACTTTCTGAATATGTTATAAATAATTTATGACTTTAAAATAATTTCCTCTTCTAACGATTCCTATGAACTCTCCATTCATGAGAGCCTTCTAATCAATAAATACAAGCCTTCACTCTTCGCCTCTCTTAACTTCACTAAATTTTACTTTCCAACTTCTTTATCATGTAATCCATTTGACGCCACCTCCTTTAGACGTAATTTAACACCTTTTGTAAATACAATATCTTGTCTTAAAATCTCATTATAAATTATTACTTGCCTGAATATGTCTTCAGTAAGGACGAAACGTCAGTATAAATTCAATTTTACAGCTTTTGGTCTATTTCTATAGCTCTAATTATAACTTTATGTTAGGCATTAATTGTTATCATATTACAAGAGAAAATCAAGTTTCACGAACACAAAAAGCCAAAAGAACGGTAATATACACGAGAAAGTTTTTAAAGAGTTCGGGGCAAGGTGCAATGAACGACAAGAACACATGAACTTTGCTGTTACTCAAATGCGTAATATATTTAAGAAATGTATATGAGAATGCAATTATGTATCAATAATAATCAAAACTGCCAGTTGCATCAAACATTTTCGATAAAGTAAAGGCCATAGTGTTCAAGCAGGTTTTGCAGCTTGTCCAATCCAAAGATTCTTAAAAACACGAATATGACATGGCGATAGAATCATCATTTTTAAATGATGCCAATACCGTTAGCTCCAGTGTCAATCTTTTTCTGATTTTTCAGAAAAAAAATGAAAAAATTTGACAATTAAAAAGAGAATGTTAAGATAGTATAAAAAATCGTTTTTCCAAACAAACAGAAAAAAGTATCAACAAAAACGATGATCCATCCAAGGAGCTGCTACTTTTCATGCAAGATGAAACTGAAAAATTAAGAAAGCTTAAAATTGAAATGACAAAGCTTTCTTAATTTTATATCTATATTAAATGGTGCATATCATTTACCAACACCAAATTTTCAATTCTAACAAAAATTCCACGCTAATTTTCAACATTATCAGTTACCAACACAATTCATTCAGCAGCCACTCCAAACTACCGAATTACTCATTCTCACAATGATCACAAACAATACCAATCATTATAAAAGTTATGTGAATAAAAATAACATATTACATTTATTATTATGTTCTGAACCACAAGCAATGTTTAATTACTTCATATATTTTAGTTCAGTTTTTAAAAGAGAGATTTCAAATGATAAAGGTGATCTTTTCCTGTTAGTTACAATAGCTTTATGTTGCTATATTATCAAATTTTATGAATATGTTCCATTAAACCGTCTATATATGAAGGTAGTTCTGAATACTTTGACAACATCTTTGTCTAAACTAAAAAAGTATCCTATCTTTCCTTTCTTGCATATATTAGCCTGCCAATTGTTTATGTATTTCAGTACGTATAGAGAAAACTAATGTGCAAAACAAATATTTTTATCAAGGTATCTATTCTTGGCAGAAAGTACAGAACGTTTCTTATGGTTATGGAACATGACTGCAAATAAACATCATATTTTTTCAGTTTCACTTCAGTCAATAGCACTTGATCTAACGCTTGACATGGCTAAAGAGAAGATTTATTGGCGAGTTTCAAACGGAAATGTTTTTTCTTGTGATTACTACTCCCAAAATGTAATTGATTTTGGAACTTCAGGAGGTCCCATGGCAGTATTTGGGGATTTCATTTATATCGTGACTAGTGTTGGACAAAGTGTCGTTAGTGTCCATAACACAACAGATCAACGCACGAGACGAAAATTTTTTCTTCCTGTAATCAACGGTTATCTTGATTTGGCTGTAGCTATAAACAGTATCACTCCTGACTCAAACGGTAGTTAAATATTTACTTATTTGACATAATAATCTAAGACTTGCAAAAACTCCCACGCTAATGTTCATAAAATAGAAAAACGATAAAAAGTTGAAAGTTACATTGCCTTAGTAAACGGTTGTTCTTCCTTCCAAAATTATAGAAAATTTGATGAGCATTAAGTTCAAAGTGTAAAGTGTCTAATTTGGACATTTTTGCCGTTTGTCTATTCTTATCAAACTTATTTGGTGTTAAATTTAAGTCTTTATTGTTTCTTACATCATTTAAACAATCACTTGGGCTTGAAATCAGTCTTAAATAAAAAAATTCATGAAAATAGATTGTAAGACAAAACGTCCAAATTGTGCAGTGAGCTTAAGTTTATCAAATTTCTTAAAATTTCAGTATATTGCAAAACAGAGTTTAAACTTTTACATTTTTGGATTAAACTAAATTTGAAACTTTTCATTTTCTTTGTGCATGCTGTTCAAATTCAGGAGATCACGAAGTAATCTCATGGCTTTCGAGATTAATTTTTTTTTATTTTATTTTAAATAAACAAGGCAAAGCCATGCCAAAATACTTGAGCTTTGACACATTTTGTGAGAACTACTGATGAATTGATAATTTTCTGAACATTTTTCAATTATCTAACTTCTTTAGTATATCCTTTATAGTGTCCCCAGCAGCCAGCAAATTTGTTCATACTCTGTAAATTTTCAACATTTATTTAATTGTTTTGTTTTTACGAAATGCGTAACACCAAAAATACCAACATTGCATTACAAACTTGCTTTCTGTGTACGTGAACGTGCATACTGAGTGACAAATTGTGTTCTTTGAGGAAGAATATGTTTTGTTTAAAATCCCTGGTTAATTTTATTTTTAATTTTATTGATGGATATAGCAACAAGCACTTTTCACTTTCCTTTGTGTGGACCCAACACATACTATCGTAAAATTAATGGAACATTGAACTGCACGTGTATGGAAGGATACTTTGGAGAATGTAACTCGTGCCACGGTATGGATTTATTACTGTCTTTATCAAGATTTTTTATCGCCGATCTTGAATAAAGAGCATCTTTGTGCAGTTTTAAAACTTTGTTCTTTGTTGAGAATCCTGAGATGTTCTCTGTGCTGTTGCTTCTGTGCAAGGAATTTGCTGCATCTACATTTTAGATGTAACCACAAAATAAGGCTTACAGCCAAACATACAAGTTCATCATTATCAATAATATCAAGCAGGAAATCAGTAATAAATTTATGAAAAGCTTCAATACACTTAAAACTCCATCAGCACACTACATTGAAAGTGTATGGTTCTCTAAATGACAATAGCATATGTTAGCAATAACACATTTTGATATTCTCTACATTAAGCAGGGTGTAGGGTTAGGGTTAGGGTAAAGGTTAGGGTTAGGTTTAACACTCCTCTTGAAGTTAGTAATCTAGCTATGGCCCTGCTAACCTAGATACACCATATTAGATAGTCTTGAGTTTATCATCGGTTGGCTTTCAAAAACTAAGAGTTCTGTAAATCCAAACCTTAAAAAGCATTTTGACAGACATGCTTCCAGACCTCCTAGAATGTGTGCACCTCAATAATATTGCATCCAATGTCTTCAACCAATGGATTGTAGCTTTATAAACTTATTCCAAGAACAGACAAATATGGCCGTTGTCTGATTACTCAGTATGCTATGTAGGCTGAAGCTTACATTCCCGCGTTTTTAAAAGTCCTGTTCTCTTTAAACATAGTTTTTACTCTTTGCCATTATAGATGAGATAATTGTTCAAAATTTCTATAATATATCCTGTTGGAAACTGCACGATATACTATTGTAATGCTCTATGTATAGAACTCATAAAGTAGTGAGTTTATCTCGCTCGAAATTTAAATTTATTCTATAATGTTTACACTATGAGTAACAAAATTGAAGCATAGGCAATGGAGCATAAGAAACGGAAACGTCATCAAAAGACTGAAATTTTTAAGAGAAAGTTATATCACTTAAAGTCCCACAAATTTTTTGAAGCTTACAGGCCACGCAATTAGTCATCCGCCGCTTAGTATGGGTGGTATGCACTGATAATATTCATTCATACATATCTTGTTAACTTTCGATGTAAGAAAATTAGGTTTTACTATTAAGAATTCACTTCCTTTTCAAACCTAAATAAGCAATATTTTTAAGAGGTACAATAAATAAGGTCAAAAAATGTATGTAAATAAGGTGTAATAACGTTTTTCAGTAGATGGCATTAAATTTCTAATGGGTTTAATAAAATTTCAAATGACTTTCTTACTTTTCAATTTAACGCTATTAGAATTAGACTGGAATTTTTTATTCAGACATAAAAAAAATTTCATTTAAGCACACATTACAATGAAATTGACTTTAATCTGGAAAATTAGGAATATTTTTGAAATGGGCGTAAAATGAGCTATATTTGACAGCTTACCTCAAGTTCATGCACATTTTTGATGTTATGATTTCCTTATTTTAGTATTTCTTTCTCCATTAAAACATTATGGAATGAATTATATTTTAGTCTAAAACAGACAGTTGATTATGCACAATATAAATACATAACAAATCCACATCAACACTTAACGATTATTATAACCATCCATTTAAACACAAAAGGTTTCCCCTTATGATTAAAATGTCAAGTGTTAGCCGGACTACATAAGCTTCACAATCAACTTCTTTTATTTGATTTACAATTTCTATACAATTTTTTTAAGAATTGTATTTTATTATACTTTACTCTGCAACTTGAGGCTACTCTACAAAACCAGCTCAAAGACCCTCCTCATTCTAAAAACCCTTTAGGTATTGAAAGACTTGTTTTAAACAACATCTGTCTGCAAAACACAATCCTGCCTGTTTAAGCATTTTTAATCAGCTTTTACAGTTAAAAAATGCATATTAAATATTCTATTCTATTCGTACAAATCATTCTGAAAATAATTACTTGTTATTGTTGTCTTATTTATTTTTTCATCCGTCTAGCAAGCTGTCCTTCTGATTGGTTGCAAATAGAATCATCTTGTTATTTCTTCAGTACAAAAGTAACAACATGGAGAAAAGCAAGAAAACTTTGTCAACAGATGGGAGGAGATCTTGCTGTTCCAAAAAATAATGCTGAGAATAATGCCATTTACAGAATCATGTTGAGAAAAGGCAATAAACGTCATTTTATTGGTTTGTATCGCAAGAAAAGCGACAAACAGTTCTACACAGTTCAAAATGGCAAGGCCAGTTTCACATCATGGCGTTATGGAGAACCTAATAATCTTGGTCATGTAGAGAACTGCGTTATTTATTATTACAACAGTTGGCAGGACATAAGATGTGGGCATCACTATAACTTCATTTGTCAACGTGAGAGAGGTAATGTAAACTGTGAGTAGCTCTAAAATTATCAATACATTAGGTACTTTACATAAATGTACTATTTTGTGGTAAAATGGGTGCATTCTTTAGTTATTGTGCATTCCAAAAATAATGTGGTACCAAATTTGGCCAATCTAAAAATTTGCAAGTATATCTTGGTTCATACTTAAACATGTCAATTCAATAAAGAACTGGTATGCATGGAATGGTCATTTAAATATCAAATATAATTGAAAATTATGTTTATTAATAGGTTTGACCGAGTAAATGTGTCAAAAACGGAACCTTAGATGAAGCTTCCCCAAACTTATATAAATTCAAAAGACCTGGTTTTAGGCAATAATGAAAATGCCATACCTTCTTAGCCATTCCTATTTTCATAACTTCTTTGTCCGTTACGCCCTACTGCTGAGCACATTAGGTCACAAAACATGAATATTCGCACACATATGAATATTCAACCACCACCCCCCCCCCCTCCTATCAACGTTCTAGTTTTGGACCTGGTTGTAGCCGACCTGCTTGTATTTAGTCTTGTTTTGTTGGTTTTTCTGTGTTTATTTACTTAGAAAACAATAAATTTGATAATGAAGACTGCTTGATGGAGCAATGAATAAGGCTTGATTGAATAATATTTTTTTAAAGTTTTACAGCAAGATGCAACGTCTCCAAATACCTATGCTTTTCATACCAAGATATGCATATCTATGACGACATGCTTTGATCAAATATGATTTTTCCATTTCTTGTAAAAAATTTTTTCAAAAGAATTAATTGCGGGTAAACCGTCCAGTTTGTTTGGTATAGATGATATGCTTTAATTTCATATAAGTTTGTTAGTCGATGCATCTTTTTTTGCAAAGAAAATCCAACATCTTGAATTAACAAACTCAAAATTTCCGACACTTGCAACGACAGGGGGAGATAATTAATATGCCCCTGTTGTGTGAATTTTTCTAACGCTAATCTCATTGCTTTAAATGGCTAAGTTGTTTTTCATTTTTTTATTAATGATGATAATAATTCAAAATAGCAACCGTCGTGGGTACACGTCACACTTCATAATTCATAGTCCTATTAGCTATGCAAGAACTAGATTTGATTTATATCATAAATGCCACCTTATCAATCCCACTACCAGATTTAACTTTCTTTATGTGTGGTTCTGCTTGTAGCCCTTGGTGAGCAATCTTCTATCGTGTACAGTAAATGATTGTTAATTAATGTATTCTGTTAATAGACGCATTCTTGTTGCAAAAAATCAAACGTAGTCTGTATGATTTACAAAAATATTTGTCTAAACGAATCTAAAAAGTTGTGTTGGATTTACAAATAAATTACTAATTGTACTGGATACATTCCTGACAAATCCAAAAAGAAATGTATCAGTAAGTTGGTCATTCTAGATCTTTTAACTTATGTTGCAAGCTAACGTGACTTCATGAAAATTCTTTGAAAATTTTAGGACAATTATGTTTTTACATTCTCGTAAAATCAATTAAGAAATATTCAAAAGTAATAAATTAAACAAAAAATTTCATATTTATTTATTACACATCTTTAAATTAGACATAAAATAGAATTGCTTAATTTATGGTACACATTTTCAAACAACTTTATTGTGAAATATTAGATATCGGCGAATGTCAGTCTTCTCCTTGTGGCAAAGATCACTCATGCATAAATATCCCAGGATCCTACGAATGCCTATGCTCCATTGGATACAAACTTGAGCGATGTAAATTGTTGAACGAGTAGGCAGAATGTCCTAAAATGATATTTATCATAGCCAGAGTGAATTTTACTATCCAGACGAAGCAAAGTTTGTAGAAAATCCAGTTTTAGTCTCAACATATTTTTTCGCAATGTATTTGTTTACGAACTGAAATGCAAATTTTATAAAATTGATTTGAAAGCGATGTAAATTGTTTAACAAGTAAGCAAGGTGTATTCAGATGAAAAATGTCGTTGCAAGATTCCATTTTACTGTCCAGACAAAGCGAAGTTTTCTGAAAAGCATCAAATTTTAGTCTCAACATTAAGTTGCAGACCTTGTGAAAATATTTTTTCCGTATACGGACCTCCCAGTCGGTAAATACGTATTATACAGGGGCGGATCCATGGGATATCCAATGTGGCACAGGAAACGGTCAGAATTCGGCAAAAAATCTTGAAATTCAGACATTAAACATATATTTTCTTAGTTTATTCAGTTTATTGAGTCTATTTTTTTAAGGGTTTATATTACGAATTTTAGCCCCCTCCTTTTTTATTAGCTAAATTGAAAGACCTTTTTTCAGTGATTTTAAATCTGCAATTATAATTGGAATTGGATTGGTGAAAGTGATTTTACGGACGTTCAAAGTCACGATTTTCAGCATTTTTTTGCGAATTTTTAGATCGGTATGCTAATGACTTGTGACGTAGTTAGTTGAACACATATATCAACATGGCGTATTCTACTAGTAATCTTAATAAGAAGCGCGGAGGAAAACGCTGTGTTGCTGGCGGACCTAATCAAATTAGTTGCACCAATGACCCAAAAACCGAAGGAATATCAATGCATCTGTTTCCTAAAAAAGGAACAGAGCCGCAAAGACATAGAAAATGGGTAAATTTTGTGCATAAACATAGACCGGGTTTTGAGGCTTCCTCTACCTCGTGTCTGTGTTCTGCGCATTTTGAAGATTCTTGGTTTCACCTTAATTTGAGCTTGCAAGTCAAGCTCAAAAGAAGGTTGAAGAAAGATGCTATCCCAACCATTGACGTCGCTGGGATTCCTGAACAATTACAGGACGAAATAACCGATCGAAAGCGAAGACAAGTAAGTTTACGCTTGTTTATGTTAATTTTTCTTTTGTCATATGTAAATTCGATATAAGTTTTGTAGATTATTCGACATACTCTTCATAAGCCATCGCTGAAGGAAACATGTTCCGAATAAAGTGGTAAACACAAGCAGGTAAAGCCCGAGTATTCTCCCATCCCATAGACCCACAAAACCATCGCATCAAACATCTGTATGCCACAGCTCTCAAGTACCTGAAGTAAATAAAAAGGTTGGACTAATTATTGTTGATGAAACAATGTTGATGATAACATTGTTTCTCATACAATTTACAATCTTACATATTTAATGATTGTGATGCTTGGCGGCAATAAGCACGTCCATTCCTATCTCTCAATAATGGCCCGACGTTTTCAAGGACAGCCTCATGAACTAAAGGCCCAAATTTGGCATACTGTGTTATGCAGGATATTATCTCAATGCTGCCATCGAATGTCATTTTCTGCAAAGCTGGTCCTATTTCCTTACAGCATCTGTACTCTAATGCGCCTTCTAACAAATCGGTATGACAGCATTGACAATTACACCTGAAACGTGGGAGCATTGTGGTTTATAAAGTAACTTTATGTATATTACAAACAGGAGAAAACAACAACTTACCATTCACCGAGTGGAATAACGCCATCACTTCGTTGTTCTAATGTCCCAGGGAGAATTCTATTGGGATCATCTGGAGTGTGCACTTCATCACCATCTCCTGCGAGCGGTTCATGGTCATATGCGAAGTCGTTTAAATGTTTGACATAACCCATGGATTCCGAGCTCCAATCAGATACGCATTCAGACATCGAATTCGAATTATCTGAGCACTGATTTGAGGACATACTTTCAGGAAAACTTGTTTTTTAATATTTTATTAAAAATACTGTCATTATTTGTTTTTAAGACAAGAAAAACGACAACAAAATCACCTCCTATAATATAATATTATATTGACGGAAACAGACGTGTTCAACTATCTACGTCACAAGTATCAATATGGCGTCGTAAAAAATTCGAAAATAGTACCCGAGTTTGGAGGCAAAATTAAGGAACTTATATTTATCTGTTTAAGTCCAGCGACATGTCATAGTTCTTTAAATAATCCAAATTTTCAATTAAGCTCATAAAAAAGGGGTGCTAAAATTCGTAATATAAGCCCTTTAACCAAAAAACACTAAAAAAAACACATGAAATGCATTTGTTGACGTACTCAAAATTCACATTTAAGTGACAGATTTTATAAATCATCGTATTATTACGCCGTTCAGATTTGCCTAATATAATCCGATTATCCTGCAAAACGTAACTCGATTGCTGTTCCAAGTCCAGTTTTGCTGTTACAGTGGTATACAGAGCGTTGCCGCTGACGCACTTCACCTTGAGAAAGCGTCGTTTCTAGCGCACCTCACAGTTTGAAAAGGAGTATACACAAATCTAAGCGCCCCAGCTCTAGCTCGCTAGCATAATTACAGCGAAGGTCAAGCCCAGGACATTGGCAGGAGCCAAAGACGGCTGGACCACCCCGTGCCTGCCCTGCCAGCCATCGAGGTCTATTATTTAGAGAGATATACTCTCATAGAGTAATCCAAACGTTCGACAGCCATGAGGCAGGGCAAGAACAAGTGTGCGTGGTTTCTACCCGGAAAGCTCATCACATGTGGGCGAAGCTCCATAGGTGATGAGCCCGAAGACGACAACCATAACGTTTGTCATTCACAACCTGCGGGGCTACGACAGCAATCTCATCATGCAGACTATTGCATAGACTGAAGGGAAGGTCACCTGTATCCCCAACAACGCCGAGAAATACATCTCGTTCAGCATCGGCCAGCTCCGGTTCATCGACAGCACCCAGTTCATGCTCTCATGCCAGGATGGACTGGTGAAAGCCAGTGGCCCGCAAGACATGCGCATCACAGCTGACTACGAGCCGAACCTCCAGAGGCCTACCCTCTTGCTCCGGAAGGGGATCTCCCCCTACGAGTACATGGACAGCTGGCTCCGATTGGACGAGGAGAGCATCCTGCCGAAGGAGGCTTTCTACAACAAGATCTAAGGCGAAGGCATCACCGACGGTGACTACGCCAAAAAGAAAAAGGTTCTGGGACGCCTTCGTCTTTTACAACCCTCGGCGACTACCACGTCCTCTACCTTCGGACCGATGTCCTCCTCCTCGCTGACGTTTTCGACAACTTCCGAAAGCTGTGCCTCGAGCGATACCGGCTAGACCCGGCCCACTATTACACGAGCCCGGGCCTACGCTGTGACGCTTTCCTCAAGCACACAGGGCTGGAGCTCGAGCTGCTCACCGACATTGACATGCATCTCTTCATCTAGAAGGGCCTGCGAGGTGGCATCAGCATGGCCAGCAAGCGCTTCGACAAGGCCAACAATCCCAAGGTGACAGACTACGATCCGGGCAAGCTCCAAAGATGGA